ATGTGTATCCGCTGAACGTGCGTTCAGCTGATGCTTGTAGTGTGCGTAATGAGTCTACATGTGTGTATAATTGAGGTTCCCAAAGATCCTGAAGCGCAATGGTAACGTGAGGAGATAAAATATTTTTTTTTTTGTGGAACATAAATCGGGCGGTACATGGCGCCGCCTACCTGGCCTAGCTTCTTGTAATTAGTCTGCTTGACCCTGCCATCTGGTGGCAAGTGATTTAGCCTTCTTTCACGCTACGCGATAAACAGTGGCTTCGAGTTTGTTCTTTTGAGAGCGGCTTTTGGTTTCGAGGATTGGTTTCCCATTCCTCCCTGATGTGCGGTTGACGAAGGAATTATGACTTGAGGAACAGCAAAGGTAAGAAGTAAAGTGCGCGAAGTAACTGGGTATCGGTTGCCTCCGTTTAACATCGCAGTGCTGACGACGAGAAGACTGAGTAACTGCATTTGAAACGCAAGTTTCTACCTGCGGGAATCTGGCTTTGTAAATAAACACAGTTCGCTGAACGCTCGTGTTACGCTTTAATTTGCTGCTCCTCTCGTCCCGTACAAGAGACGTAGCGTCCTCGTTAACCCTTATTGAGCTCGATTTGCTTGATTCGGGGCCGCCATAATGACATCGCAAACAACATGGTTTGCAAATATTGAAACTCGTAGGAGTGAGAACGTACCCACGCACACAACAATTAAGAGGTTTACCAATATACGAAAAACACTTCCTATAACGAACTAAATGGTATACGTTTGAAGAAACAATGACGAACGAATGCAAGAATGCTACTGAATTATCTCACTTAGAAAGGTCATTGAGTTTTGTGCAGTATAAAACACACTTGAATTTAACGTTCCGTCTACGCAAAAAATAATCGACGCAAAACATGAGCGCCACCGCGCTAGACGTCGGAAGGCTGAACGACGATCCAAGACAACTAAATACATACAAAATCTCCACGAATTGCGCAGAGTGCTAAAACAAATTTGTCGTTATTCTAAAAAGCTCGGTCGACGTTACTAGAGGACGCTCTGCGAAAATATAGATCCAAAAAAGCCATTATGTGAAATATGAAAGATATGACGAGGACTTAAATCTTTCTAGCAACTCCCGGTCCATTTCGCTGGTTGGCGTTTTCAAGAAATTGTTCAGAGAAAGATGTGGCAAACAAGTATCCTATTTTGTTGCCAACATACACAACCCTTTGAAGCCATTCCACAGCTCGCACCACAGTCGAGTCGGTATTTTGTGAGAAAGCTATGGATGACCTTTCCACAATGAGCGCACTGGATGCTGCACTTCCTCCTGTTACAACTCACATCTCACCGAGACCTGACGGCATGTACGTAGTAGTTATTTGATACATATAGGGAAGAACGCGCGAAAGCTTTTTTTTTTGGTATATATGCAACCTTTTGTTGATCAATAAAAATGCTCCAGACTCGTGTAAAATGGAAAGGAGTTTGCCTCTTCTCAAACCTGGCAAATCACCACTTCAATTAACGTCGTGCCGTCCGGTCAAGCTCACGAGCTGCGTAGGAAAAATAATGGAAAAAATAATCCGCCGCCGTCTAGATCGGTATCTTTAACAGAAAGGGTTATATCCAGAAATCATGTAAGGCTTTCGACGAGGGACCATCGATCTCGTAACTTACGTACAACAAGAACAAGCACATCGTTAAATTACAATAGCTTCTTATCAAAGGATCAGTTGATAGCGTCACTCATAAAAAAATATTTGAAGCTCTCCGGGAAATTGGCATTGGGGGACACTTATACTGGTGGATAGTAAGCTACCTCACAGGAAGATAAATTTGTGTGTCTAAAAAGAAGGAAACACGCTTTCTTACCCGTTGACCTGTGGTGTAACTCAGGGGGGCGTCCCGAGTCCTATACAATTTGTTATCGCTCTCACCCGTCTCACCAAAATACTGCCCCCAACCATCCAGGCATCGTTCTACGCCGATGATATCTGTATATGGGCCTCTGAATCTACACGAGTTCAAGCAAAGGCAAGGGTTCAGTCTGCACTAAACAAAATAAAAAATTATCTTGCAGTCGTGGCCTCAAAGTTTTCAGTTACAAATAAGCAGCTATGGCGTTTACCATCCTAAACATTTCCAAATACCCACTTAAGATAGGCGAACAAGCAACACCATACGTTAAATGCCACACATTTCTTAGAATCATTATCGACAAGGGCCTAACCTGTATCCATAATAACCCTGAGACGAAGGAAAAATAAAAAAAAAACGGACAGTACAACTGTCCGTTTTTTTTTATTTTTCCTTCGTCTCAGGGTTATTATGGATACCATTCACAAGCTCGCCTGTGTTTTTTACCTTTCTTGCCTAACCTGTCACGTCATATTTTGTACTTGCGCAAAACGCTCGCCAGTGTCAATGTTCTTGACGCTTCATCGGTAGAGCCACGTGGGGCGCGACAGTAAGATCCCTAATACAAATATGTATGGCCTTATTTGTCTGCTTATTTCGATATAGCGTCCCAAACCAACATCTAAGGCCTCAGAGCAATTCAAGCACGAAACCTCCGTGGCTGTTTGGGCCTGCTACTCGTGTCTCGACTCTGGGCACAGTTGCTGAGGCACGCGCCACACCTGTAGACGTACTAATAATGCAAGAAACATTGCGAGTTCATCTAGGACATGGTACTAATTATAGTAAATACTTACTTGCTAAACTTGCAAAAAAATGACCTTTCTCAGAGTATTCAAAGGCATTGTCAGAAATGGGGCAATACATCCCTGATGATATAGGCTCATTTGGACTTACAATGATACCTCCATGAAGACTCCCTGTCCCCGTTGTGAAACTTGACATTAAAGGCATCAAAAAGGAATGAAATACCCAATTACTAGTGCTTAAGCAACTCACTTTATCCACCATTGCCTGTATTTACGCGTCGAAAATTCACATATATACGGACGAATCTTGTGTAAAAAATGTAAGTCGTTAACAAATTTCTGTAATTCGAAATAAGAGCGCAGCTCTCGAAGAGGAAGAGGAAACGGTACAGAAGGGAGGGTTTCCACTTTTTTTAGAGCTGAAATTAAAATTCACGGCTAGACACGCCTGCTGGTGTTAATTCCCACGTTCGAAGAAGGATCTCGTTCCGTTTGATTTGCCGCACTCTAAATGAGTAAAAAGAAGTACAGCTTATTCTTGCCTATAGGACACCCTCGAGAAGTCGTGTTTGGCCGGCAGGAAAAACGGGTGGCCGCTGCGGGTTTCCCAATATCAGTCTTATTGAGCGTTGCGGAGGTCTTGTTAAAGGGATACTGAACCGAAATTTGGATTTCGCAAAGTAAGGCTGCAGAAGTGTTGAACGGGACGCTACGAACTCCAAAACATCACTCGTACATCGGTATCTCAAACGGATCGCCGTACTTTTGGAAACGAAGGGCGCGATCAAGCGAGCTCTTTGACGTAACAGTCCTCCGGGAGAATTTGAGAGAGAGGGGAGGCGCCCTTGCTTCTCTCCTCCTCGCTTCGGTTCACCAGCTTGACGGGACGTAGAGATGAGGAGAGAGAATGGGAATCGTGACGTGCCTTGTCTCGTCGGCCTCGAGGGCCGGATTCAATCGCGCACTTCTTTTTCAAAAAATACAGCGATCCGCTAGATAAATCGCCGTATGAGGGATATTTTTTGGTTTTGCAGCTTCCCACCTATCCGCCCAGCCTTGTTTAGTGAGCTCGAAATTTCGGTTCAGTATCCCTTTAATAAGGAAACTAAAGGGAAAAAGCTCACCCCAGAGAGAAAAGCCGAGCAGAAGACCGCTTGTCATTCAGTACCTGCACGATATTTCACACAACTGGAAAAAAGTTTCGCTGCGGTACGATCTGTCCTTATTGTCTTCTGTCCCCTGTAAGTTTGGACAACTTTGACCTGGAGTTGCGAATGGGAAAGGTAATGGCCCCACTTGCTCGGTAAAGCGCTAAAATCTATATATTGACAACAAGGTGGGAGTTGTTTACAATATTCCGCTTACGTGTAAAAAGCCCTACTTTGACCAGACGGGAAGATGTGTCAACTACAGTTATTGGCAAAGACAGAGGCCGAATGACTCAGAAAATTTTATAACCTTATGCGATTAACATAGGGGGTACGAAATGCGTCAGCCAGACGTCGCGGCAATAACACGGCAAAGAGGTTGCGTTTTTTGATACATGTCGATTGACCAAACCGTGATGTGTTCGGTGTTGATGTTTTTGTTTTGATTAAAGTTCAGCTGAAAATCAGCGCTTGTCCTGTGCGCACTTCTAGTTTCCCCCTGTTGTTTTGCGCGCTGGTCTACCTTTTGTCAGTACGAACAAAATACCCCACATTGGCACCCTAATTCGGAAGCATCTGTTTCTAATGCTACATTACATACAACGGCCAAACATCTGGTCAAAAAACTACAAATAAAACACAGCAAGCGCGAATATAACATCAGAGCTCTCTGATATTTTGCTTATGGATGGTTAAGTTGAGCACCACAATTTATTACGATGTTGGTGCAGAATAGGCGAGTACACCACAGCTCTGAAAAATATTAATCACAATCTTTGAGCAGCTGAAAGAAAAATCACTAATCCCTTGACGAAAATAATTCCCTGGTGAAGTGGAAAGAGGGGGACGGAAGACTGTCCACTGTTCCCCTTTTCCAGGGATTATTTTTGTCATTCTTGTCCAGCTTGCTTGCATTTTTGCATTAATTGCATTGCCACCAATTCCATGTTTGTACATATGTGGGGATTGACTTCTGATGGATCGCAAGCAAACAAGACCTCCAACGCAGTGGCTGTTTGAGATGGTTTACACGTCCCTGCTTGAGCCGCTGTTGCCGAGGCGTGACTAGAACGTTTGGTTTATAGTTCTATGGAACTTATTTGATGCTCATGTTGGAACAAGTTCATGCTGTACTATCATTACCGAATTATGACTCCATTTACATAGCAAACTATGAAACATTTATGCTTTCTTTTTGTACTTTTCAGAACCCTACAAGCCTCCCGAACAGATGCACACGAAAGGATGCAAGGCAACAGATATTTTGATTCATCCGAATGTAATACATCCCTATCTATTTATTTTCTTACCTTGTTAATCATGATTTATATCTACTATAATATTTCTATACTATGCGTCGAAAAACCGAGGGAGAGGAGGAGATGAAAGCGCGTGGAGACGTCAGAACTCCGATCTCTGCCGTTCTAACATCAGAACTTGTCGAACGCGGAACGCCGGCGTTCGGCATTTGGCTTTCGCATTCGAGCCAGTTCGACGAATGCCGTAAAGTCAAATGGAGCCTTGAGTTGAGAAAACATCTTTATTTAATGCCATAGATAGCTGCTCTTGCTTTAAAGCATCCGCACCGGCATAAAAAATGATTATATATATATATATATATATTCGCACAGCCGCGCTAGAGGGCGGCCGACGGACATTTCACTATGGAGCGCTGCAAAATGTCGCCAAACGCTCCAAACCGCGACCGTGCAATGGGATTATTGAAGGGAGTTTGCAGTCACCGATGGCCATCGGGGGAAAAGCTCCGCTAATCCGCCGTCCGCGTAGAACAGGGGTCTCAGACACGCGGCCCGCGACTTGCTGGGACGCGGCCCACGAGCAACCGCCTACGAGTCCCGGTGCCCATGCGCTAGAAATGGCATGCGCCATAGTGATCTCATCTCGCCGATTAATTTTCGCTAAAATTAGCTCTGCCCTTTTAACGTATTCACATAGCTTATACTTATCTGTGTTCATTCGCCCTTTGTTTCGCTTTATTTTTTGCTTCCCAGCCTTTTGCGATGTACACATCGCGACACTGTTAGCGCGAACACGACATCGGCGCATTTTCGCATTTTCCTTCTAAATGGTATTAGCGAGCACGAAATTTCTTCACTTACATCATAGAACTAAGTGAGCTCCTTCCGAAGCAGTGATAACTTGGATGACATCCCTTGGTTTCAAAGAGAAAAGTGGAAAAACTGGCGATCGCTTGTTCGCGCTAACAGCGTCGCACTCTGTACAACAATTCCTCTACTGCTGCAATCACGAAGATCTCGGCTGCACTAAATCTCGATCACCAGGAGTAGCTGCCAAAGATAAAGCTACGAGCTCAGGATTAGAGCCTTCAAAGTATTTTTTTCAGTGTTGTAATAAAAATCGTCAGGAAAGCAAGAACCGCCAAATTAACTGATTAATTTTGTTAGAGACATGTGGAGCTTGGTTAATTCCTCAGTGAATCGTGCAACAAAAAAGACAGTGACCTTTCTCTGTTGTACGATTAAAAATGGCAGCATGTTGGCGAGGCGCTGTCATTTCAATTCTTGTTATCACATGACGTCAGGTTCAAAAGTAGTCTTATAACCAAATCAAAAATAAACATCTCATTGGCAGAACTGTGAGTTACAAAAAGCATAGAGGTCTCTTCTCTTTACAATCGTCTGTCAATTCCCCCCCCCCCCCCCCGCCCCCTTAAGGTGATGCGTTGGCCCGACCTTTCCGGTATGGGCTTCCTGGCCCCCAGACTCAAATGTTTTTGAAACCACTGGCGTAGAAGCTGCAGAGCTGGTTCCACAGAAGCGCCCAATGTACGCGGCGGCTTGTCTTGTGGGATCACCCAGTCCTCAAAGGTGTTAAATTGGTCTGCTACCGGGATGTCAGCCAAGGCCTCGAAGCGAGCCGCAGCATGCTCGGGGCACTCCCAGATAAGGTGCTGCATCGTCGCAAGGGTGTTGCATGCTGAACAGTAGCCCTGCTGCGGGTCATCTTGAAATATGCGGTTGCGCAGGGACGGCAGCATAAGGGTGTTCGTGTCGATACGGCGGACGAGAGTCTGGGCTTTGCGGCTCACTCCCGCGGGCATAGGCGGTATCCTTCTGTCGTGCCTGTTGAGAAGGGAGGCCGCAGTCCTCAGGTTGCGGGTTTGTCTTCCGTGTAGTTGTCGAACGCGTCAGAACGCTATACACCGGCGTCCGGACCTTGGCTCCCTTTCGAACACGTTCAACGAATGCAGTAAAAATGAAGGTAGCTAGCTTTAAAGCTACCTACTAATCACCCGAAGCAGAGCTTGGCATCCTGACGTCTCCGCCCGCTCTCGTCTTCTCCTCTCCTTTCAAACGTTTCATATGAAAGCCAACACAGTAGATTTAGAAAAAAAAATAAAAAATAAACGAACCGCAGTCGTCACGGTGAAGGTGCTTATTTATTCTGGTAGCATATATCTACTCCACGCTCGTTTTCACATAAAAAAAAAAAAAAACTATATAATTTTTTTTTGCGTTGTTCCTATGACACGCGGAGTAGTTTTACAGTATTTAATTGCCGGAGAAAGGAGCGATGATTTTGGCGTTTGAAGCGTCTACGTCTTGATGATATAACATATATGTAATCTACAATGCACTTATATATATCTTAATGTTTTACATAAAGGGGGAAGATAGTAATGCTCCGAGAGAGGTCGGACTTTTTTTACGGCGGTTCTTAAAGGGGCCCTGCAATGACTTTTTGACTGGTTTTTAATTTGCACTGAACCTGAGCGTACTGAACGTAGTAACTTAATCCAACTTGTCTTTTCTCAAATTTCACTCTATATTAAAAGTTATAGGCAAATTAGAATTACAAAAACAAGCAAGAAATAACCTCCTTCATGACGTCGTAGGTCCTGCCTTGAGTGGCCTTGAACTAGAGGAGGAGGAGTGAGCTCATCGAGCTCACACGGCTGACGCACTCCGTGTCGACGGCTCGAGAGGGCGCCACTAAAGCACGTGTTGGATAGGCTGTATGAAGCGGGCGGCCAGGGCAGCTCGTATTGCATTTGCAGCGCGACTAAACACTAATTCGGCCTAACATTTCATTGGCCACAAACGACAGCAAACACGGGGTAAAGATCAGTTCAGAACGGGAGCCACTTCGCGCTGACGCACCGCCAAATGGCCGAATCGCCAACAGGGCCCGCGCCGAAGGCCTTCGGAACGCTCGGAACCGGTCGGACTCTTGAGCCGGTATACGACCACAGCGCCGCCGCGTACATCCGGGACCTTTCTACGCTCCTCGTTTGTCGTAGCCTCATCCCACTAGCCTTTTCTATTATGCGCCGTTTTTTTTCCGCCGCTTGGTGGCGGGTATGTCGACGGGTCACTTCTCGTTTCCGTACTTTCTAAACTGCATTTGTTTCTTTTCTGATCTAAAATAGTGAACAAAAACTACTTTCATACATAATTGAAACGGTTTGCGACACTTATATTTTGTATCTCGACTAAAAAAAAGCTCTTAGAGGCTCTGACCAGTGACAAGCCCAGGACCAAAGACGTCACATTTCGCGCGTTTTCGGTATCGCGGGTCGCCCTCGTCGGTGGAGGAGGTTTCCGCGTCGTCCGGTTAAAATATGACGCACTGATATTTAGTTACTCCCTCCGTGCCCGCTGGCTTGCCCTAACCCCAAGAGACGTGGAAACCGCAAAAAAGGTAGACGCTTAAATATGATTGCAGGGCCCCTTTAAAGGGAAAACGGGCATAACTATGTTTTGGAGGATTTTCGTGGACTTCTCTTCCAAATAAAATAAACATATATACAAGTTCCCCACCTTTAGTTGTGTTTGTTTTTTTCAGTTATTCTGGTCGCGTCGTCTGCAATTCATTACATTCTGGAAAATATACGGGTAGGAATATCAAAGAAAACAAGAGGTTCCTTGTGGGAAAATTGTATTGCAATACAAATTGCTGTGCTTTTCTTTGTGTTTTATTTCCAAGGCGCATCCGTTTTGACCTCGAGCGGCCGCGGCGGCTTCCGTGACAAAGCACCTGATATGTCGCGTCGCAGTCAATTTAGGTGCCGCTTTTCGTTGTTACGGGTTTTTACGTGCCGTGTTTCGCGGTTACGGGTTTTAGGTTCCGCTTTTCGTGGTTACAGACGCCGCCGGCCCCGCTTCATGGGACAGTTAATGCTTTTGCATTTAAAAAAAGCCGAATTTGGATGCGCTCTGGTTTTCTATCGGAGCGCTTCGTTGCGCCACCGGCCCTGCTCCTAGAACTGGCCAAGACGCACATCGTGCAAGGGAGGCGAGGCTGTGGTTTGCACCTCGGCCACCGGGGAGCAGGATCACTGGCTCAACGACGCGCTTCGAGAAGAAACCGAAACTTAGAAACGGCGTCCAAGTTACATCTTGTAAACCCTGAGTTGGGGAACGATAAAAAAACGGACGAACACAACAAAATCTCATCGTTCCCCATCTCAGAGTTTACAAGATGTCGATTGATTACCAGCTCGCCTGCACTCTCTCACTGCTTACAGTCCAAGTTAAGCGTTTTTTTTTTTCGGAACGCTGTAAAATGCTGTCGCTGCTTAATGTCTTTCTAAAACGAGTGAATTTAACTGTTTCCGAAGGTGCTTAGCGACGTAGGAAATTAGACGAATACTAAAACGCGCGTTATATCTATAGAGATGTTTCTAGACAATATGGAATCCGAGTCGTTACCTCTATAGCACATAATATATAACAGAAGTAGGTCAATATATTTGGCCTTTTCGAGCACGATCTGTTTCTCATCCTCTGTGTGCGACAAATGCCAGTTCTTGTTTAAAGCCTCAGATTTCATCGACTTCTAAGACAACGTGTCCTTATGAAGTGTTAAAATTAAACTGCTACCCCCAAATGCACTTCAACGTGCAATAGAACTATTTGTGACAAACATTATAGGAACATTAGTGCAGAGAGTGCATATCTATAAAACAAACCTACTGCACCAAGCTATACTGATGAACCGGACGTGATTGATTGTTACATATTTTCAAAATTTCGATTCGAAATCATCGTTCAGAATTATATTTTGTTCTCGTAGAGGGATGTAGTTTGGTAACATAGTTACTTTTGTTTATTCTTAGGCAATTAGCAAGAATTGCCTAAAGAAAGTCAACAACTGTTGCGCAAAGTAAAAAAATTCTGGATCGGCACTGCTATTCTAAAGATCAAAGTGTATTTAGTGTAATATTCAAATAATTATTGTTTATTGGTGCATAAATATAAATGTCGTAATTCCAGCTGACAGTCGCGTCAAATTGCCGAGCAGAGTGCAGTGGTGGAACTTTCGAGAATCGAACCGACTCTATATATTGCCTCGTGAGTATATTTGACTTTGTGGCCTAAGGGACGATTATGGGAAGGGTTAGCATCTATGATAAAAAAAAAAAAAAAAACGGCCAAAACGTCGCCCGAGTGCGCTCCCCAAAAAATTCTCCACCCGGAAAAATATCAGACTTCTCTCTTTTTATATCGCACTCTTTCTCTGCTTTGTTGGGGTGAATGATTTGATGACATTCCAGTTGGTGTTAGTACGGCGAGCAAGTGCTCTAAAATGCGTCTTTGGCGTATCGGAACGCAACCAGGAGCGCGCCAATCAAAGGGCACCACAGAAAACACGCAGGGAACGAAGCGATGACGAGGCTCCCAAGAGCGTGACGTCATTGGGTGAGGTCGAGAAAAATCAAAATAACGTGGTCGTGTTTAGGGGGTAAACAAACGCACGGTGTGCGCAAGGATCAGACGAAATTGCACGACGTATAGTGTGATCCAACTCCTTGACCTAAGAAAAATGCACTCGTTTGTTACAATCTAGGTGGTTAGTGAGAGTGTGTTTTGATACAGTAAGAGATGTTTATTGTGTAAGTGCCGCTTCCGGCGCATCGCTCGTATACAGAGCCATAAACTACAGCAATGTTCGTCAAACTCAAAGGAAATCCTTAAGACGATTGATGTATGCCGACTTCTTTTTATGGTATGATATATTCTTTACATCTGAATGTAGAAAACGAGTAAAACCTGTACTAGCGTATAAACACAGAAAATCGTGGCTAGATAGGAGATAACGCAGCAGTTTTGCCTGCCAGATGTTTTATGTTTTTCGACACTTTCGAACAGCTATGAATAGGTGACTGCGGAAATTATCGGCTATTCGATTGCTCATTCAGTAGAAACGTGAAATACCCACCGAATGGGCCATGCGATCACTAAGGGTTTCGACGTCAAACCTATGCACCTTCGCGAAGCAAAGTGCGCGATACGTGTAAACTGACGGCATGCGAAATTAATGAATTGTCCTCGGTTCAGTCGCGATTTCGGCTTTGAGCGAAAGGCCTCCTCTGCCAACCTCTGCTCGGGCTGTTTCATTGAGCTCAACGCCATTAGGCACTTCTTCGGGTGCCGCCAGGGTAGTGCTCACGTGATGTAAAACGCAGTTGATGTTTTGCGTATAGGTTTGGTGAGCACTGTACAGAGGTCACAACTCTCTTGACAACCCTCTCTGGTTTTGAGATGGAGCACGTGAAATCGTTTGAAGTGAATTAATAAGCGTAGCTTATTGTGGTGTGGAGTTGCTTGAATCGCGTGTGTGTGAAAAAAAAAACAGTGGATAATCTCCTTTCTTTTATTAAAAAAACGTGATTCAAAAGTGTCACTCTGTTGTGTCCGCTATTCTTCTACTAATCTGCTGTTTTTAGCTCTTTTATTTTCTCCAAACAAGGTACTTAGTAAAAATATTGTACTAAATTTATGATTAGTTTTGTTTTAAATATCACACTAATCATTGAATGATTTCCTTCTGTGCATTCGCCAAACAATCACGGACGACGGAAAAGATAAAAGGTTTACTTTGAATCAATTACTTCATTAAAAAAAAAAAAGATGAAAGACGTTTACAATTCCCTATAACGCCGAATTAGAACGCTGCTCTTGAGGAGGATGGGGGAGGGAACGGAAAGGAGGGTATCCTCTCCTCCTCCTCTCCTTCTCCTCAATCATCCTCCTCCTCAACCCTCCTCTCCTCCTCCTTCCCCTCTTCCGAACCCCTCCCTTCCTCCCCCTCCCTCCTTCGTGACGTCACGCATGATCCTTGTCACATCACTGATGACCGTAGTGACCCTCGTCGATGCCTTCACGAGTGGCATTCGTGACGGCACTTGTGACCCTAGTGACCCTCGTGACGTCACTTGTGACCCACGTGACGTAACACGTGACGTCACGTGTGACGTCATTATGGGAAACGTCCCATAATGCCAAGCGCGGTTACGCCGACGGCAACGGCGTCGCCGCTCAAGCCGGAAACGGGCGCCTAGGAGCTGCGCTCTAAACCTTAGTGGCCGATTAATGCATTTAGATATTAATTGGTAAGTTGATTTATTTCACGGTCCTTATCTAGATGTCTCGGCAATAGACGCCTCAGGACCAGGGTATTCGGTGGGCGTTTAGGTGCGTGTTAGCTTTATACTTTGTTAATTCTGTAAGCGGTCTTTTCGGTACACAGTCGTTTTGGTACCAGGCACCAGTAATAATTTGTTTGAAGATGGCTTCTTGTAGCCGTTTATGTGTACCTAGTGTTTCATATAAAACGAATTCACTTTCCCAGGAATAACAGTCCGCGACTAGTCCTATTTTCGCTTTCAGATATTGAATCCGGTTTTGTCACCAGGGTTGAGAAAAAATATAAAGATGATTTAACTCGCGATTTAAGTCGTAATTCAAATCTAAGCGCTTTTACTAATGATAATTTATAACAAACATCCTCAAAAATCATTTTAAAATTTGTGTTCTATTTAGTGTTTTTTTATCATTTGATGTTCTCTATGCGCGTTCATTTTGTGTTTAAATCAAGAAATAAAAAAAAAATGTTTCGCCAGGTTGAATATAAGCACAAAAGGTTGAGGTGTGGTCATCTGTGACCGAAAGCAACAAGCAAAGACTATAAAATGACCGAAAGCAACAAGCAAATACTATAGAAGTAATGACCTATCGCAAAAAAGTCGGAACGAAAAAGGACAATAAAAAAAAAAAGCTTTTTCATTGACCTAAAAAAATCAAGCTGTTTTTTTTTTCTGCTGTGGCTCGGCTTACTCAATGAAAAAGTTATGAATTAAACTGTACTTTAAAATTATCGTAATTCTTCGTTCTGTTTTGTTTTCAGTGATGGGACGTATTGACCAATCAATCTATCATGTTTAAAAATACATCTAGCCAATAAAAAGCACTATTTTATAGCTACAGTAGCTCAAATAAAAGTAATCTGATTTAAATCAATTAAGCCCGATTGAAAAAAAATTAATTCATTTTTTTAGTAATTTTGTATTTTGTACTTTGTTGTCACTGAGCGTGTCTCTAAGGTGTAAAATTATTGCGTCTATAATTTTTTTTCTTTTGCACTAGCTTTTCTAGCCGGTACAATGTGTCCTCATTTCGGTTATAAGCTGTTGGACTTTTTTTTGTCCCTTTTAATGATGCTAAATTTTACTTTTGTTCTCGTTTTACTCATAACTTGTAGGCGGTTCTTTAGCGCCGCTTCCTCGGGTGGACACGACACACGCTCTAGGTTAACTGTTCATTAACCGAACAATTTTCGAGGGGCACCGTCATCCAGGGGCTCCGGCAAGGTCACCGGCTTGCGGCGGCAATCCAAGCCCCGCGCTCAAGAAGCCAGGCAGCTGTTCTCGTTCGTCCCGCGCAGCCGAGAGCCGTAACCGTCGTCTCGTCTTTCCTTCCCTCTTGTAGCTTGTCATCCTCGGGCAGCGCCGCTGTGGCCACGAGATTGTCCACTTCGGCAACGCCCCTTTAGTGTTATCGCCACATGGCGTCAGCAGCGCACGATGCGGTGGGAAGGAACACGATAGGTTCCCACAAACTAAATTTTTATTCTCTTATTACTTTGTGTAACATATCGGCATTATTTAATGCTCCCTTTCATGAATAACGACAAACTAAGATTAGCCCTTTGATTTCTTTCACTTCCAGTGGGAGTATATTCGAAGAACGCATCATGATTTCTTCAGTATTGGATCTTGCCTTTCTGGGATCTGCGAGGAACAAGAAAATTACGCTGTTGTGGTCCAGCGTTAAAACTATCCCAAAGCCATTTCTTCAACTCAGCGGAGATAGTGGGCATGGCGCTGGGATACATGGGAAGGAATGTTGATTACTTTCGTGAGAAACAAATAAAGTGTTCTTCTAAATATCACATGTTTGGAAAGTTTATTTATCGGCTTTATATATAAAAAAGAAGCGCATATTTAATATACACTAATAAATCAGTCAATCTATCAATCAATGGCCCTATTTCAGTAAATGAAGATTTTTTTAGCTTTACAGATTTGTTTAAAATAAGTCGTGGAAGTTACACTTAAGCGGTTTGTGCAGGTGACTTATATGGGCAGGGGGACAATATGTGGGTGCGAAATCTTTACGATAAGTCGGGTAATTAATTAAAATTCGTTAATAAACTTCTTAATTAGTAAAAATAGACATATGGTTCCAATCAAAAACTTGCTGAGCGTAATTGAAAACCATTTAATTAACTCTGTTAGAACGACTTGAAGCTCGTGGGAAACTCGGGGGCCCGCCCAAGTTACCACACGCGAGTCAGGCGCAAAAAGCTAGCAGTGGCGGAACGCGATGATAATCTTATCATCCGCGTCTTATGCGTTCAATTTCTTGTTCATCTTGCGCAGTGTTGCAGGCCTTACCGAAAAGAAAAAGAATTGACGACATACGTTATTCCTTATTTACAAAATAAAGGAACGCGTTACCGGCCTACGCTACCTCAAAAACCAGAGTTTGGATTTAAATCCAAACTTTTCCAAAAATCGTCCTTAAAATATATTTTTATTTACCCTTTTTTATAATTTCATGCTCCCTGTATGCATTTTTTTTAATCTAAAACAAAGAATTACCATACAAGAAAGGTTTATTAGGCTGAACACGAGCAAAAAGCAGTGGTATTTCAGCAAATCGGAATATTGAGCTTCCTTTTTGCCATCTACTTCGCTTTTCAGTTACGTAACTTCCAATTGTAAGAAAATGAGAATGCAAAAGGAAAGCAAAGAAAGCCTTTTCACGAACTAAAATGTCAAGCCGATTTCCTTCTACTATGGCGAGGTTTATTCAATCAGTAAGAAGTCGTTAATTAAAGTGCATTTCAAATTTACAGTGCATCTTTCTTCCGCATTGCTTTTAGTATTCGATGGATTGATATCAATGTCATATTTACACATACGTATACGAATTAAAAACTGCTATTTATAGCTAATTGAAGTAAATAAAATTAATTATAGTTTAATCAAATAAATACGATTGCATCAAATAAATATAAAATAAATCCGATTTATTTCATTTTAATTTGAAATGTTTAAGGGGTAGATTTTTAGATGAAGTGAAGCCTCAAAATGTATAATCGCGAACTTCAGTACTAAATTCAGCGGGAAAAATGACGTCACATGACTTCATATCACGTAACCTAAGCATAAGTATACCAAAACTCCAAATCTAACTATAAATCAGGGTGTCGAACCGGAACCGAACCGAACCGAAACCCGGAACCGAACCGGTATTTTTTCCGGAACTTAACCCGAACCCGAACCGTTATATTGTTATCGCGATGAACCCGAACCGGAACTGAACCGGAAAAAAAATAACGGTTACCGGCTCATGTCAAAACGGTTCGGTCACGCGCTGTTGACAATGAATGTGCTATCAATGCCATTTGTTTTTTAAGTGCCGTCAACTGACACACACCCTCGCTTACATATTTTTCTTCTCCACTCAGTCTTAGGAATATAAACGCTGCATCCATGAATCTTGACAAACGCTGCATCCATGAATCTTGACATAGGAACCAGTATTGCGCTGGTCGCGGCTTGCACGGAAGAAAGAGAATTGAAAGGCTGTGCAAAAAAACAAAAAAAATCGCGTTACGGGATTTCATTTTCCTACAATCTCGTAAATCCTAAATGCTGCTGTGTGCTCATTTCATAACACGTTTCTAAAATGCGCGAGTGTTTGAAGCTTGCTTCCATCGGAATGAGAAAAGAAAAGGCTGTGGAGTTTGATAATAATGCCTCCGGTTTCGTATAGGCACTTAGAAGCTAACATATTTGTGAGACAGCGAACTCTTCCATTTTAATATTTATCCTATTACGTCCTTCTGGCGTTGCGTTCGGTGAAGTGTTTTTCATATTCCGTATCTTGTTTAATGAAAACTTCTTTAAGGGTCTCATTTGAGTTACCGAAGGCTAGTTCAAATAGAGAAGGCTGTATTTTCTCCCCACTGTTCCTTCAATTGCTTACACGCCGAGGTGGCGGGATAGTTAGCGAGTTCTACTTGTAAGTGGGTTTGTAAGGAGGTCGCAGATTTTACAGCTACTGCGTCGGACCCAATTAGATGAAGTCCGAATGCGTAAACGTCGGTGAGGTAACCTTTGAGTGCACATAAAGAAACCATTCCTGGTAGAAATCCCTGAGCCTTACACTACAATGTATCCCGTTTCGTATGTGCTGATTTCAGATGTTTTATTTGTCATTTATTTTGATGTTGCAATTTGTCATTTATAATTTCAGAACCGGTTCGCGAACCGGTTCAGCGCCCCGAACCGGTTCGCGAACCGGTTCGGATCGAATTAATCGAACTGGAACTGAACCGGAACAAACTAAATTTACCTGAACCGTAACCGAACCCGTATTTTTTTCGGTTCGACACACTGCTATAAATAACTTTAAAACTAACAACTCTGACTAACTTTAACTCTAACTCTAACATAACTCTGACTAACACTAAGTCTAACGCTAACTAACCGCTAACTCCACTAAACACTTGATTTAACGTAGTGCTTTAGCACAACCTGTGCCAAACCAAGAACGCTTCAGGTAGCAGCACAACTGCAAGGCAATTTGCAACATATTAAAAAAATATTTTTTTTTGGTGCTAACACATGCAGCCAGCAAATGCGCAAAAAAAAAAAAAAAAAAACAACAACCTAGAAACGATAACACAACGCACCTTGTTTTGTAGTCGTCTTTACTCTGACCCTATCTTTTGGCGCTTTTAGTGCGTAATACAAACAGGCATGGTTGTTCCAACCTAACTATTGCATCTTTCCATAAATACGAATTCTTTTCTTTTCTTATGAGTCACATTTCACAATTAATTATCACCAATAATGACACTTACTGTTATACTTGTTTTATTAAAAAAAATATTGAAATAGAATTGGTTGGTATGGAAGCTTACTGATTGAATCCCTAATGCACCAGATGTGATTATTCTATCTCTGCCTGTTCTACCCATTTCGCTGATCAAAAATTGCGAAGAAAAGTTTAAAAAAGAAATCAGTAAAGCTATAAAAAAAACTAGCCACCTCCCCCTTTTCCCTCAAAAAAAGAAAAAAAAAGAAGAATATCGTTACAGGAACCTTGTGGGCAACGACAGTTGCATGCCTTGGAGGCAACTAACTTAATTGTGTGACTATGCACTCTTGTTGCATATATAAAGAATATAACTGCGCCGGCCTCACCCCAAAACTGGCCCCCAAAGTACACAATTTCGCAGTTACGAACCAGCTATGATTATAGTACCGAAGCTTTCCCTCGAGACCGTGCCAGGTTTCAGGCTGGACACAATAAGCAAAATATTAACACATTCAACCCTCAAATTAAAAAAAGAATAGCTTGGTTTTCCCATCAGTTCGTTTTACAGGGAATGCTTATTTGTGTCAAAAATTTCCGATCTGCAGAAGAAAGTGAACTCTTAGAATTGAGACATGCACCGCTGCGACAAGCGTACTCGTATTCGTTTCGGTTCTCGCAGGATGTTTTTCTGTCCAACATTTTGCCCCACAATTGCTATAGCGGTCGTCGCATTTCTGATTATAAAGAAAGAAAAATTGTAGGAAGGCACCTGTTGTCTGTGCCGTCGTCGAGGCATTCACTGGAAGATTCTTCAAGGACTCTGTGAAATGAATGGAAGATTATATGTTTAGTTTTCTCAGATACGTCTGCCCACTAACCTCGCAGCAAAGTTCAAATAAAACACGATGTAGTCGAAGCTCCAAAGAAGAGCTCGAAGAATTTTCTAGGAGTAGATATGTTTAGTAGACCGTGCACTAGACCTCCGCTTTGCTAGCGGGAGCTCGGGCCGTCGCCTCAAAGTATGGATTGATCACGCGCCCGCTATTCCCGCACTCCGCAGCGTACGGTATACGAAATATTTCTATATTATATCTCACGAGTTGTGTGCAGCGAAGGTAAAAACATACGCGCGGGTGCATGGCTTTCAGATTCGCTTCCATTTCGCTAATACTCGGTAAAGGGAGCAAATCTAAAAGCCTCGCGCTCGCGCCTGTGCTTTTGATTCTGGTGCATGCTGGTCATGAGATAAAGTATTGCGTCCGAGTGACTGCTGACAGCTCGCTAACACCCTTCATCCACTGTGCATTTGGCGTGTCCCTGAACAGGCTAAGACTCTCAGCCAAACATCGCCTAACCCTCGGAATTTGGATTGTTTAATTTTACCATCTATTACGCACCTTTTGCTAACCCGCAAATTATTGATCAGCAGCCTAGGTGCTTATTTTGAAGCAGCCTTTGTCGTGGAGGAGGAGCACTCCACGTGACACAGATTACGGTTTCATGTAAAAAGATCCCTAGGTGAGCTAAACGAGCTTTGTCTTCTACTGGGGCGTGACAACGCCGAATAAATTGGGCTCTTCGGATGTAGAGAGCCTAGATTGTAGAGAGAGTAATATTCAAACCATGGGGAGCATCTGCGGTTTAATAGCGGATGTTTCCATCAGAGATTGGTCGCAAGTGCGCATACGCTACGCTATCGCCTAACTAGGAGGAAAGCAGGCCGAGAGGTGGAGACGCTCGAGGACGACCAACGCGTTCGCCACCTGTAGCTCGTGTTGCAAACGCGGCCCATAAACCACGTGATTCCGATCGTGCAGTTGGAAATTCTCAGTAAAACAGGCTCTCTGATTGTTCGCTGCCACCTAGCGGTTGTCGCAGCCTACTCGTCGGGTCGCAAATGGGACGAATGGCGTGGGCCTAGTCTGTCCGTAATTATTACG